TTTTTTTTTTTTTTTTTTTTTTTTTTTTTTTTTTTTTAGTTGGGGCGCGCGTAGTGATCTTGACACGGTTTTTCAATCCTCTGTTGTTCAAAGCTACATCTAAAAACCATGTTGATGCCCAATATCTGGCTCGCAGTCACGTTCCTTGTGTCCCTCGTACTGGCTTTACAGGTGGAGTTGCCCGCCATGCAAGATCCAACTCCAACGTGTATTCGTGATTTCGTTGGCAGAGATCAGATGGTCGTTGTCAACCTCAAGACCACTGGATACCGTGGAGATGGCCAGCAATTGCTGTTGACCGTTCATGACACACTCGGAAACAGATTCTACAAGAAAGATGATATCAGCGGTGAGGTCAGAGCCGTTTTCACCACACAAGATGCTGCTGCCATTGACATCTGTCTCACTAATCGCGTTGAGCCCGGCCGTACCAGAGTATACTTGACCAGAGAAGTCGAGATTGACGTGGAGAGCGGTGCTGCTGCCAGAGACTGGAATGCAGTCCAGGCTGCCGAGAAGTTGCAACCTGCCGAGGTTGAATTGAGAAGAATCGCTGAAATGACCAGCGAGATTGCACACCAATTGCTGTACTTGAAAAACAGAGAGGAGAGAATGAGAGACACCAACGAGAGCACGAACTCCAGAGTCAAATGGTTCTCTGTGCTCATTGTCCTTGCCTTGATCGGCTTGGGCGGCTGGCAAATCCAGTACTTGAGGCATTACTTCAAGGTTAAGCATATCATTTAGATTTACTAAGAGGTCTAAACATCGAAATCCACGCCAAATACTTGTCATGTTTGCATTCCTTGCGAAATTGTAGTCTGCTGGACTCGATCTCCTCGTCCTCAAGAATAAAATTAATTTCGTCGTCCAAACCTGACGCATTCCACGACCGTGATTCGAGAAACTCAATGTAGTGACGCTCACTCATATCTTTGAATGTGTGGAGCGCAGACAAGATATCTTCGTAAACCTTTGGGTTTAGTTGATGCTCCTTCGAAACTTCGCTTATCACAATGAATTTAATCATTTCATAGCAGAGACCAATGCAAATGTCCCAGCAGCGCTTGAAGTCATTAAGCTCTTTATAGGTTGAGTCGTGAACAAGGCCATCATATAACTCATTTGATTTGAAAAGCCTTGTCAATTTTTCAATCCTGGTGGATGTAGGGTCCAGGTACCCTATTAAATTATATGCTAAATCCTCGGAACCGACAATAGTGATGACATGTCTATTATACACCATGAGAATGAATTTATCTAGCACTTGTTTTGGAACAAACAGTTGCATATTTAGCTGTTGAAGAAATGCAAATATTATTTCTTTGTCAAACATGAGGAGCTTGTTGGACAATTGTGTCACAAGATCCACCTTATGAAATCTGTTGGTCTCTTGATAGAGGAAAAGAGCCACCAAATGGGCCCTCAAATGCAATGACTCAATGTTATCGTCGTAGTCAACTTTGGATCGTAGGCCCACTGAGCCATTCGTATTAACATCATTTTTGATGAGACTTCTCTCTCTGGGATAGCATGGAAATGGTCTATCTTGAGTCAGCAAACCCAAACCAGTAAAAGCAACGTCGACAAGACGTTCATACCAATCCTGGTTTCTCCCAAGCTGAGTGAGAAGGCAACCCAAAAATGAACGCTTTTGTCTTTTTTGAGAGACATCATGCTGAATCTTGAGAAACTTCAATATAATCAGAAGGGTCAGACTATAGGTTTCCCAAATATAATGAAGCGAAGTGTTGCTTGAGTTAAATAGAAACTTCTGGTACTGACTTGAGTCGCCACAGCAAGTAAAAGTCCATCGTATGAGGTCCCAAAGATTGTAGTCTTTCAGATGCATCAACCTATTGACTATAAGGTGGTCATCGAAGAGTTTAACGAATTCTAATGGGTTTCTCTCGACCTTCTGCTTCTTTGGTCGCCCTCCTGGCGAGAGTTGCTCAGGTTCAGGAGTAGCTTGGGCCAGAAGATGTGGCATGTTTTGAAAAAGGGATGTCGCCTCACCCAAGCCTGTCGTTTTACTGCCAATGTCAGACAATGAGATCACATTCTTCTGCGGTAGACCAAATTGATGGTATTTCAAGGACGTTTCCTTATCGATACCAGGTAAAAGGTCTTCTCCATCGACGTCGCTCTCTGAATCCTGAATGATTTCCACAACAGGAGTCTCCTCTTTGGACTCTGGTCTCGACTTAGGCCTGGAAAAGTGTATAGAGGCATTGCAGATTGGTCGTAGGACACTTTGAAAGTTTTGATAAAGCTTCAGAGCATGGCCGCTTTCACTGGACTGTATGAGATCGACGTATTTATCTAGAATGTTAGCGCTTCTTCGTTGTAGCAGGTCCTTTGTTAGGTTATGCTCGTACTTGTCATTGATTTCTTTCATATACAGCGACAGTACTTCAATGCCGTCATCACTGCTTACTGTGCCATGTGCTTTCGACGACTGAGGAGAACGGCATGCTAATGTCAATAGGATGTGAAGAACAATCTCAGACGGCACCGGTGTGAATTGAGACACATCTGAGTTCTCGAGGTAGGACAAAAGAGCATCTAATTGGTTGGTATTATTGAAGTTGATTGGCTCATCGGAAGTCTGGATTTGCTCAAGCTCTGCGAGAAACAGGTCTATTAGTCGAGTTTGCACATCTGAGTGGCCCATTGACCGGTTGGAGTTTAGTTCGCGATATCAACTAGTTGCAGCCATCGCGTACTCTTTATCTACACTGAATGTGAAAAACCTAAATCCCTATATATTCAATAATTCTTTCAATCAAGTTGTCCAATCTGACCTAAAATCTCGGCAAAATCTTTGATTCCGACAGCTAACCCTGAAACGTTAGCATCGTAGTTAAGGACTTCCCCTTCCAACGTTGTAGTTCCACAACCTAGCATATCAATGAGAATCAGATCACTGACATCACCGAGATCTAGATGCTCTTTGACCTTCTTGAGGTCCTGGAGTGAGAGTGTCTCATTGAGAAGTTTAGACTCGCTGACCTTGCTTCCACTAGATGCTTCTAGGAAAAGACGCCAGGCATTTTTGATCTCCGGATAGTGATCTCTAAACCTTACAAGCCGATTGCCCACTATGATAAGCTTGTCGATATCAATGATGTCGGAGACGTCTAGCTCGCCATGCCTGGTAGTTGATAATGTCAATTGCTGTAACAACAGCCTGGTCTTCCTAGCCTTATTGCTATCACTTGGGAGTCCGCTAAAGTGGGTGTCATAGAACCATTGGACACAATTGTCTATATCTTTCGTGAAGCAGTGTGGTATGTTTAGCTTGTGGAAGATGATCGGTAGGTGCTTGAGATAGATGTCTTCGACATTCGACTCGTCCAAAGTCTCGGCATAGGCATCGAGGACTTGCCTCTCAGCGTCAGCGTCGATTTTCAAATACTCTTCTGATTTGGAAAATTTGAGTGGCGGCATGGAATCGGACGGAATATGTGAGGTGAGTGATGCAGTGCGATAGATTACTCATTTACTGCTACATCACTATGGTTCTTCCGAGCATCAAAACCCAATTGGTGGATGTCAGCAGCAAAGTCGAAGGTCCTTGCCGCTTCCTCTATAAACTAGAGTTGGAGCAGCCTTCTGGCAGTTTCAAACTCAGAGGCTTGAGTAAGCTTATCGCTGACTCTATAGAGAAGGCTAAAGCTGCGGGTCAGAAGCCACATATATTCTCTTCTTCAGGAGGAAACGCCGGGTTAGCTTCTGCCTACGCTAGCAAATACCACAACGTTCCTTGCACCGTGGTTTTGCCCGTTACCTCCCAACAGGTCTCGATAGATAAGCTCAAAAGCTACGGAGCCAATGTTGTGATCCATGGAGCCCACTGGGGCGAGGCCAATAGCTACCTCAAAGACACAGTCATTGGGGAAGCTCCTAAGGATGTTCATCCAGTATACTGCCACCCCTTTGACCACCCAGTCGTTTGGGACGGTCACGGTGAAATGATTGACGAGATAGCAGAACAACTCGGTGACCATGACATCGAAGCTTCCAAGGTAAAGGGAATTGTTCTTAGCATTGGTGGAGGTGGATTATT